TTGAAAAAAAAAAACATTTTAGTGGAGCACAGCTGTGCCCATTTATCAATGCATTGCCTATGGCTGCTTTTAACTGCAATGGCAGAATTGAATCATCGCACAGAGATTGTATGGCTCGTAAAGCTTTAGATATTTACCGAAGATGTTTGCTCACCCATGATCTAGAGCCAAGATTGAGATAGGAGGAGAGTCCAGCTCCCTTTAGCTCCAGCACTGCATTTTTAAAGGGAAATAAAGGTCAATGGAAGTATGACTGGAGGAAATTCATGATCATGGCTCAGTAACTCAAAATGAAGTATTATCTAGGACGATAAAAACGTTGAACTGTTCTGAGCTAGTTAACAGATACTTTAGAGATGGGAGAAGATGGAAATGGGAGATTCTCAGCTGAATTTAAATGCTGAAAGAATGATGAGTAGAGGACTTTGTAGTCGCAACTAGGACCATCAGTGACAGTTACAAGGTGACCATTTAAAGGACTTTCTAGCAATTAAGAATTTAAAAATGTAATAGGATGCTCTACAGGGTGATGTTTCTGGGATGATTATACATTGGGGACATTAGAGAAGAGATTCAGGAATAAAAATAGTTACTATTTTGGGGAAGCTTACTACTTTCCATTAACTCTTTTAAGCACACCATCTCTAATCCTCATAATAACCTATATTATTATGAACTTCACTTTATGGATGAGGAAGTAGTTCAGAAAGGGTAAAAACTGCCCCAGCTCCCAATACTAGTGTCAGATCTATAGTAAAAGTTGGTTATTGGATAAGATAATAAGAGATTTAAAAATATTTTTGGCATACTGGCAAATAATAATTTAACTAACATAGATACTTCCACCATCCAGAATTTACAGTTATTAAGAGTTGTCAATTCTGGGTTTAGAAAAATCTATGACACTTATTTCTAAATTTGCTATATTAATTATATAATTATAAATGTCCCTTAAAAGCTATATAATTAATATAAATCCTAAATTGTTGTACTTTCAGTAATATTTATAAACACCATCTTCTTTTAAACCACCAGAGTTTTCATTCTCTTTGTGTCTGTTGTGACCAATTTTCTTCAGTTCTCTGGACTTTCTGATCACAAACTGATTTTGGGGATCCTGAATTTTATATACAGTATATATAAAAAGGTCTGTGCTCCTATGTTTTTATTAGCCTGAATGTATGTAGCTCATGATATTATAATTAATTTTATATAAATACATACATGTATATATAACAAACTATATATATATTTATACTATTTAACATGTTGCTTCCTGTTATATGTTCCTAATATCCCTATATGTTTTCCCTCTTATGGGCTCATTAAAAAGGAACAAGATGTTTCATTATTATAAAAAGAAAGACCCTGTCAGACCAGGGATTTAGCTCAGTGGCACTGTGCTGGCCTTGCAAGTGTCAGGTCCTGAGTTCAATCCCCCATACCAAAAAAAAAAAAAAAAAAAAAAC